ATTATTATTATTTTGTGACGAGAATTATTCTATGATACTTTTGTTTTGTGGTTGCTTCGTAGGATTTGAGCTTTTTATGAGAGAATTTTAGAAACATTTTTACAGTTATGTTTTTTTTTTTTTAACACAAAGTCATAGGAAACCTTGCAGGGAAAGAATTACTTTACATAAGAGCAAATAATAATTCTACACTTTAAGTATGGCTCAACAAAAGTTATGGTGCTTAAATTGTTGTTTGATGCATGGCAAACAAGACAATCTACACTTATGCTTGTTTTTCAAAAAATATGATTAAAGATAACAATTCAATCTCTCATAACTAGTCTTTGATCTTGTTGATAGTATTTTATAAGACAATAGTTTTGAGAGAAGCCCTATTAAATTAATATGAGCCTTTAATTTAATTAGAGTATGCATTGACTTTGGTGAAATTACTATTTCAACAAAGGTTAATGCTTTCAAAAATACCTATAAGTTCTATTGCAGTATTAGGTTAATAACAAAGATATCTAAAAATACAAAAACAAAAAAACCCTTAATCCAATTTTATTGGTAATCTTGAATGATACCTTAACATGTGGCAGTGCTATTGCCTCCAACAAAGATGTCAATGTCTAGTTTTATCCGGCTGGATTTTGGAAGGTACCATTTTACATGAGCTTGATCAAGTGGCAAATAATTGTTGTTATGATGGTAGATTAATTAAAGTCATTGATAATGTCTTAGGTATAGGTGAAGGTGATATTTTTAACAGGATATAGTCTTCTTTAGAATAGATAAATTTGCATCTTTTCTTTTAGATGTTCCAGCAAATATATGCAAAAAATCTCAGTCAAGGGATTTTTATATTATTCGTGTCTCATGTACTGTTTTTGCATTCCTCCCAGTGAAATTTAATAAGAAACGATTACTAGAGCTTCCAGCCGCTAGAGGAATTTGCTTTTGCATGATGGTCAATATGGTCAATTCGTAAAAAAAAAAAAATCGATGTTGGAAAAGGAGCTAGAGGCTTCAAAATAATTATCCCGATTTGAGTCTATTTTTTGTCTTTTGCGGTCGTTCTCCCAAAATAAAATTCTATTGCATAATATGTGTGGGATGCATGTTAAAGCGATAGAATTTTTTTTTAAGAGATAAGAATACTTTTGAAAATAAAAAAAAATCGAGAATAACGTTAAATAAGAAGGGATGATATAAAGCAGAGACAGTGGAGATAAAGGATAGTGAGAAGGAAAAGTCAACTTGTGCGCGGCTATGACTATAAATTTCCTAAATAATTTTATTATTCATTAGTTATAAATAATATTATCAACTTGTTAAATTTCATACAATGTAAAGTACATAAGAGCTACAATAAAATACTATGTGTTGGGTCAATTCACTTATTGAACTGTTAAACCAGTATCATGACTGGTTTATACTGATTTAATCATAATTCAAATATATTTTTAATTATTAACTCTTAAATCAATGCCTTAACTGATTCAATGATTGGTCTGATTTTTTATAATTTTTTAAATACCAGTTTTTTTATTAGTAACTCGATTTGTAATTTATGGATATAATTATTTTTTATATTGTTTTCATTTTATACATTGATATATTAACATCTAAGACTCTCTATAATCTTTTATCATTGATAAATCATAATATAAGAAATTCAAAATTTAATGAAACAATTATGATGTATTTTCAATCATACTCTTCAAATAATTAACCTTCGATTTGTTAAGAAGCAGTGGTATCACTTTTGCTTTATTCTTAAAAAAAACTAAGATATATAAAACTTTTTCAAATTTTGAGACAATTGTATAGAATTTCCTTACTTTTAGTTTAAAATTAACCTTTTAATTTTTTATTTTTTTTATCATATACTTTTCTATTGTTATTTCCTTTGTTGTCATACTCAATAGCAAAGCTAGCACTTGAAGGCAGGAGTGTAAGATAATTTAATTTAAAAATTAATATTTTTTAAAGTAAAAATTTAATAATTAAAAAATAATTGCATTAGGATTAAGATTTATAAGTATATTAATCTTTTTTTTTTGAAAATTTATTTTGCATAGGTTGATATGGTTTTTTTAAGTAAATAAGTTTTTCATATTTTATATTGATCATCAAAATATTACAATAATTAGTTTTTGAGCATAAATATTTTTTTTATTTAGTCCAGAGGATGCAAAATACCAAAAGAAGGGGCAACATTGCAACATTTACATACTTTATTAGTAATTTTTTCCAAAGTGAGTGGTGAAAATATGTGGCTCCACTAATGACTTGACTAACAAAAGTTGTCATGTCATGTTAAAAAAGATATGTAACAACTTATGTGTTATTCAATATAAGCTAATAATAATAAAAAATATGAATAAAATTTTTGTAAAACTATTATTACTAATAGCTTACATTGGATGTCATATAAGTTGTTACGTGTTTTTTTAATATGATATGATAACTTTTGTTAGTAAGATAACTTAAAAATAACAGTTGGAAAGTCTATGATTAGAAAAAAAAGGTTGGAAAAGTTAATTTTAAAATTTTGAAGGTGAGAAGATTTTATGTAATTATCTTCAAGTTCATGGGATTTTTGTAAATTTAACCTTTAAAAAATGAGCCTTCATCATTGTTAAAAAAAAAAAAAAAACCCAACACAAAAGAGCCTTCAATTCAATACATTGGGAGAAGAAGTAATTAATGTTATCACAGATTTTAATGAATTTAATCTGGGTAGTTTTACAATGGTTTGATATCTTGCAAAATATCAAACCATTAATTAATTTTAATCATTTTAAGATCTGTGAGTTGCTTAGAAAAATATTACTACCTCAACTCTAAAATAGAAATCACTAGTAATACCTAATTAGTTATCTTCATGCCTTTCAACAGAATTGGTTTGAGCTAGCTAAGTTAATTAAATCTTTAACAAAGCATACTTTGTTTCATATTTATTACCACTAGTTAATAGTGGATATTTTCTTATTGTGATTGCCAAATTTCTAATTCGTACTAACTCTAGGCCATTGTATAAGATATTTAAGATATTTTTCAAGAGGATTAAGAAAATTGTTAAAAGTCATTTAAATATTTCAATTATATATTTATTATTTAAAGAAAACATCATCCCCCTTTATTCAAATAATACAAAAGCTATTAAATCATAGAAGTAAAAGTAGGGAGAATGACAGATAGGTTTCAAGAGGACTAATTACTTCAAATTAAGTTTTAAGTAATAAACTTCGAGAATTTGCAAATTTGTCTCTCAATTTTGTGATTACACTGTAATAAATTTTCAATTTATTTTTCATATTTTAACACAGTTAAAGAATAAATAAATTTAATTTTATTATTAAAATTTAAAATTTGAGTTGCAAATTCATCACAACAAAAGTTATAAAATTGAGAGTTGAACTTATAAATTCTCAGAATTTGACACTTGAAACTACTTTAAATTAATTAATTCCTTGAGACCTCTTAATTATTCTCTCATGAAAAGTGCAAGATCATTTAATATTTTAATTAGGCTCTTTATAATTTGGACCAACTTTTATTTGAGGAAGATATAAGAATGTGAACGGAGTACTTTATTGCATTTCAAATTTTTTTTAGTAGAAACAAGAGTATCTTCCATTGACAATAGAGATTAAACCCTTTCAATCTATTAAGACATTATATGATATAATGGAATGATTTTTGATCGAATAGAAAGAGAAAGAGAAAGAGAAATGAGAATAGAAATAGAAATAGAAATATGATTGAGTTTAAAAATACTATTTGATATGTAGGTGGAATGATAATTTAATTTTTATTTTGTATGTGTAATTATATTATAAAATATTAAAATATCCTTGTAAAAGACAAACTCCTTTCAACTAAATTTAATTGATACACTAGAATTGAGAATCAAATTTCCAACTACCTATGTAAAATAAGAGTTCTCTCACCCATAATAACTTGAGTTGGTTGAATTTTAAATTTCATAAGAGGCATTTTAAGATGAAAAAAAAAGACACACTAAATACTCCCTTATTATAAGACATATTTTAGAAGAAATTAATGGTGTCATTAATGTAAGGTACTTAATTAAATATTGATTACATTTTTTAAATATTATCTTTATTTAAATTCATTAAATAGTACAGATAATATAATACAAATTTTAAAATTTTTCATTAAAATATGAATAAAATTAAATCTTTATTATATATCCTTCATTCCAATTTATGAAATTCTTTTCACATTTATTAATAAAACTAATTAAATAAAATTTATAATTTTACTTTTTTAAAATGAAAATATAAAATTTAAAAAATGCCCTTATTTAGTGTTTTATTTCAAAAAAATTAAAGAGAGAAAAAATACAATGGAAAAGATAATATTAAAAAAATGTAATTAATAAACATTATTTTTATTAAAGAGTTTTATATTTTAAAAATTTTTTTATAAATTGAGATGGAGAGAATATTTTCAAATACTTCTAATCTTATTTTTAAGTTACTATTATATGTTTCAATGAAATAAAAAAAAATTTTAAATTTTATTAACTCGTTCTTAAAATTTATTAAGTTTTCATCTTTACCCTTATTAAAAATAGAAGAAATTAATTTTTAATTATTTTTTATAATATTTAATAACGGAAAAAAATATAAAAATGAATGTAAAAAGTAATATTCTATAAATAGAATCAAAATTAATTTATTTTCTTTATTCATTAGTGACTTAATTACTCTTGTGATGAGAGCCACAGTAGGAGGGTAGGAGAGGGGGTAACTTAAATCACCTCGTAAAAATCTCACAAGTGCGAGTTTGCATGAATTTGTAAAAACTGCGTACTCACTTTTGGCCTCAAGTTCGGTGCAAAGCACGTATTGATCAAGATGGGGTTCAAGTTGATATTGATACAGTGATATGTTCATCTTTGGAAATGAACAAAAAAGCTGGGCACAAATATGGGTTAATAACTGGCAAAGAAACTTATGCCTGCTTGTCCCCCTCCACATGGTCGGAGACTCTCTCTCTCTCTCTCTCTCTCTCTCTCTCATGCGCGCGCACACACACACTTTCACGTTCTCTCTCTCACTCTATCGCTCTCATACGTGTATTGACACGGTCTCGCTCTGTAACTGCCCATCCCATGCCTCTTCACTGCTTCTATTTATAAATATGACTAAAACGCACCAAGCTTTCCGTCATTGCTATTTGCTAAGCAAGCTAGTGTTTCTCGGCATTATCATTCCGAATTGATACAAAATGATTCTCACCCCTTATTAAATTTCTGGGTTCTCGAATCTCAAGGTACCGCCTTCTCTCTGTTTTGCTTCTCTGATTACTGAAATTGCTACCATGGTGTTCATTTCCGTGCACCGTTACTGAATGTCCTAATGCTATTCCGATGTCTGGACTATCTGAATCCAGATTAGGTAGAATAGTTATACCATGTTGCAATGTGTCTGATTTTCTCCTCATTTTTGTTTTCTGTTTGAAATTTTACGATTTGGTGAGAATTCCCGCGATCTGTATTTCCATCTCTAACTGGGTTAATCGGTGGTTTGTTATTTATCTTGATTTAGAGGATTATTTGGTTTCACGGTAAAGCATTTGTTAGAGTAAAATGGGAATATAAGATTGTTCTGGGAAATTATTTCTTGATAGAAAATGCATCTTTTATTGATGGCTTTAGCAGATCCAGTGTTATTTCTAGCATCCCATTTGAAACTCTGTTTATCAGTTTGACAAGAATGGCCTGCGTTCTCGTGTTTTTCTCCCCCAAATATGTGCTAATATAATGTATTGATGGATTCGTGTTCTAAGTGTGTTGATAGACTTGTTAAATTATGAAGAATGCTGTGAGTTTCCCAGCTTGCAGAGTCAGGAATATCATACTGCAATTATTATTCTATAGACACTTCATTGCCAAATTCATTATATGGCATTTTAATGTTGGTGATTCTGTAAACTTTCATCTTTCAACAGGATCTTCGACTGCTTTTATCTGTACAGATTTTTTTTTTTTCTGTATGGCGATTTCCTTTTCATGTTCATTTGCAAAGTACAATAATGTTGAAGATGGCTTAGACTGTGCTATGGCAAGATCCATCAATTTTAGCAAAGAAGTCAAGACTCTAGTTCGGTCTGTTAGTTTCAAACATCAGGGTTCAGAACCAACGATAAGGAAATGCCTTGGTTCTGGAAAGATGACAATAGAGAAATCAGTGAGCTTCAAGAGGAAAGACATGGAGAGAATTATTACAGCTAAGATTCTGTCATTTGACAGTGAGAAAATCTTGCCTGCCTCAAGAATTAGCCAAAACAGGAAAGAGATGGATGATCTTGATCACTCTCCTAGATTTGAGTGTCTAGAGGAAAGCATTCATTCACAGACTTTGGATCTGAACAACCCCAAACACATGGCTGCTGTGAAATTGCAGAAAGTATACAAGAGCTTTCGTACCAGGAGAAAGCTAGCAGATTGTGCAATTCTTGTTGAACAAAGCTGGTACTTACTAATTTGGCAATAAGAACTCTGATTTCCTTCACAAATTTTTTTTCATGTTTCCATTAATCTGGACTTTTGATTCATTCTTAGGTGGAAGCTCCTGGACTTTGCTGAACTCAAGCGCAGCTCAATCTCGTTCTTTGACATTGAGAAACATGAAACTGCCACTTCACGTTGGTCGAGAGCTAGAACCAAAGCTGCCAAAGTACTTCTTATATCCTGATGCTTTGGAAGTTCTCATCATTTTGTCCCCTTACATTATAACAAGTCAATACTTAGGCTGAATAAAAAGGACCATAAGCATATCTTTGTTGTTGCAGGTTGGAAAAGGTCTCTCGAAAGATGACAAAGGTCAAAAGCTTGCTCTACAGCACTGGCTGGAAGCGGTTAGTGAAATACATGATCTTATATTTCCTTGTACAAACCGATTTTTTGGGTTTTCCAGTGATAATATCTTCTGAAATTCTTGTGCCTGGAACAGATTGATCCACGTCACCGCTATGGACATAACCTGAACTTCTACTATGATAAATGGCTCCAGTGTCAGAGCAGGGAACCGTTCTTCTACTGGTAATATTATTAGTAAAATATCTTTCTTTGGTCACAACTTAGACTAATACTCTATAATAAGATTTTTGATGTAACTTGCTTGGGTTTTGGCTCCGATATGGATATAAAAAAAAAAAAAGATTTTTGATGTTAAACTTCCTTGAAATTTTCAGGCTAGATATAGGAGAAGGAAAGGAAGTAAATCTTGAGAAGTGCCCTCGATCTAAACTTCAACATCAGTGTATTAAATACCTGGGTCCGGTAAGCTTTCTTATATTTACACAATGATGGGTAGCTAAGTTGGATGGAAAATTTTAGCCCAAAAACAAGCTATTAAAGTGGAAGAACCAACTCACTTAAATAAATACCCCATTGAGCATTTTATACTACTCAATGCAAGACTTGGCGTCCCATACTACCAAGTCTCCATCACACAAAGATCTACTTATCATATGTATTTACTCGAGCACCCTTTCGCTTAAATTTTTATTCATTACTCTTGTTCTTCCACTTTGCAGGTGGAAAGGTTGGCTTATGAAGTAGTTGTTAAGGGTGGAAGGTTCTTCTACAAGCAATCTGGAGACCTCCTTCATACTAATGGAGAAGGTGGGTATGCCAAATGGATTTTTGTCCTCAGCACATTGAAGACCTTATATGTTGGTAAGAAGAACAAAGGTTCTTTTCAGCATTCTAGCTTCTTGGCTGGAGGAGCCACATCAGCTGCCGGGAGATTAATTGTTGAATATGGTGTTTTAAAGGTATGCATTTGGTAGAAGGCTCATAAATACCCTAGAACAAACGTTTAGTTTGGTTTTTGTAAGACTTGCCTCCTTAAATTTTAGTCCTTGGATTTATTCTTCAGCAAGAATTAATCTCTGAAATTTTTTAGTTAATTACATGTGTATATTGATTGAGTGTACAATTTAGTCCAGCTAAGAGACTGGCATGTAGCAGGTCACAAACTAAGGGATTCACTAATGCAGAGGAATAAATCAAGGGATTAAAACATTAGAAACCATATCTTCCTAGGGCTCATTTGTCATACATTCTCATTTTTGCCCTATTTTCTTTTGCTAAAAAATGATCATTTTGTCTGTTTCAACAGGCAGTTTGGCCTCACAGTGGCCATTATCGTCCAACTGAGGAGAATTTTAAGGAATTTATTTCATTCCTTCAGGAGAACAATGTGAACCTCTCAGATGTCAAGGTATCAAGAGATAAATCACATGTTTCACATACTACTGTAATGAATTGGGTCTTTATAAAACATGTAAAATGCAAAAGAACTATGTCTAATGGTAGTGTTATGTGCCACGTGCAGATGAATGCAGTTGATGATGATGAATTAGAGTCAGAGAGAGGCAAGAAGCATGTTAGAAACCACTCATCTATGAAGGACATGACTGAGAGCATGAGTTGCTTGGAGGTTGAAGAGATCATCGACGAAGATGAAGATTTATTAGAAGGTAAAGCCAATTTATTGCAGAAAGAGAGTTCTTCTACAGTGGCAGCACCCCGAACAAAGCTTTCTATTCTAGGAAGAGAACTAAGCAACCTTGAGATCCCAGAAAGGGGTCAAATTTGTGAGAGTTTCCAAGTTGAGTCTCCTAAAGAATTTCAAGAAGGTCCACAACGTTTTGTATCAGAGCTAAATCACACAGTTCTGAAACAAGATGACACAAATGGAGAAAGCATTCCAGCAGAGTCGATACTTAAACGGATTAACTCCCACCAGGGAATGAAATCATACCAACTGGGAAGACAGTTATCTTGCAAATGGACTACTGGAGCCGGACCTCGCATCGGTTGTGTGAGGGATTACCCAAGTGAGCTTCAGTTCCGAGCTTTGGAGCAAGTTAATCTGTCTCCAAGAAGTCGCGGCCTCTCTAAATCATCACTATCTCCTAGAACACCTACCGGGTTGAGCCGAAGAGTTTCAACACCACGAAGTTTGTTTAGTGAGACAACAACAATAGGTACGCCATCTGAAAGTGGTGATCATGACTCAAGATCAGACTCCTTGCAGTTGTTTCGAGGAACATCCGTAATACCAGTTATTTATACTTCATAACTGACTGAAGAGGGTTCTTTTCTTCTGGTAAGCAAAGAGGATTCTTAATTTAATTTGTTCTTTGTGTGAATAAGAAAGATACTTGAATATTTGGTCATTCAGTCCATTAATTCCCATAGGTATTGCTTTTTATAGCAGACTGAAAGCTGTAAACTTTTATAGGGTCTATACTCTATACACTTCTATTAGAAAGGAAAACAGATTCAATCCTTTGCCGTAACATTTGGAAGCCATGGCAGATTTCTTATTTCAGATGATTTTTTGCCGTATCTTGTTTGTAGTTGCTTTCTTTATATGGGAAGTGTAAAAATTGTCACTGTACCATTTGCTGATAAGTTCATATGAATTACAAAGAGACACAAGGTTTATTTTAGCAAGGTACATTATGCTTCTGTTTCCATAGCACTCTGTACAGGATTATTATCATTCTTTTTTATGGCTAATGGCATTGTTATGATGATCAAGGTAATTTACAACTGGACCAAACTAGCTGACGTGACTAGAAAGTCAGTGATACGATGTTTGGTTTGGTTCATAACAGCGCCATAATCCCAAAATTGAATATATTAAAAAGAAAACAACTCAAAAATACTAACAAAAGTTAGTCGAATTATAAATATTTGATCCATGACTTATAAAATTATAGGATCAAATCTTGCTCCTAATGTTAGGATCTTATTGATGAACGCTCTATAAGCACTCTAAGTCTGAAGGCATGTTTTGGTGAGTACTGAGGACATAACTCACCTAATTTTTTTTTTTTTGCATAAAAAACAAAGCAATTCAAGAATAAAAGTTGAAGGATTTTTTTCCCACCTTTTTATTTGAAAAAACAAATGCTAAAAAGAAGGGAAGGTGATGTTTCTGAAGTATGAATGCAACTTTTGAAGTATTCAAATTTAAAAGTTTTTCTCCACTCCCCCTATACCTTTCAAGAGTAATCGAAATATCCAAGCTCTAAGATGACGTCAGTTAAACTTAATTTTAACTTATAAAATTTGCATTTTAAACATTTATCATCAATTTTCTAAGCCATTGACATATCTATTTTTTTTAACCAAAAAGATGGATTTATGTTAATTTATATTTTTTAATTTTTCTTCTTTATTTAAAATTAATCTGTACAAAATTAAAAATGTCTTAGTTAATAGTTTAATTATAAACTATTTGACCAAAAAAACTAATGAATTTTGAATTAGTTCCTCCATTGATTCAATGATTGGTCCAACTTTAATTTTACCAAATGATGATGCAGCAGGCTTATCAAAGGGAAACATTGAACTATGTTTAATATCTCCTCTATTGTAATTTGCATTGAATGGTTACTGTAGAACTACATTAACCATCTGACCTCCTTTTTTTTTTATAGTAATCTTAAAAATTGTTATAAGATTTTATAATAAAATGTGTATGATTTAAAATGTAAGACATTAAATAATTTTTATAATTATATAGATAAGTGTGGTTTAAAATTTATAAATAATTTTATCTATATTAAAAATTTTAATCTTCTAATTATTTTTAGAATTGAACTCATTAAAAATTTCTCTACTCTCTATGCTTTTATATTACAATTGAAAATTCATATTCCATATATCACATGGCCATCAAATCTAGTTAAGCCAACAAAAACCTAATAAGCAATTATGAAATCACTATTCACTTGTATGTATGGATGAAGGATCAAAGAGAGGAAGGGAAAGCAAGTCCAATGATCTTGGATGTATATTAGTTTATGGCTGAATGAAGCCCCTTATGTAATGCCTAGCTGAAAACATCATGCGTCTATATAATGTTCACAAACTAACATAAAGTGCAACTTCATCTTTTGAGCCTCAAAAGTATCTAGTGATAAGTAATAGAAATGAAATTGAGGAAAAGGGATTTGAATAATATATGAAAACTTATATTATATACTTATTATCATTACCAAATGTCTAAATAACACCAATTTTTTCATGATTGTTTTCAACAGGGATACCTGATCATTTTTCATCTCATTGTCGTTCTATTTTTATTTCCTTTCTAAATAATTTATTGATCAAAAGTTCAAAACACATGGCATTAATTTCATGCACTGTGTGTGATTGATATTTACTTATATTCAAAAATTCTATATCTCTCTTCCCTTCAACCTTTTTTTTGATAACGAAGATGGTCTAAGCCCGTTACATTAAGCTAGATCAAGAGGGGATTGAAATCCCATACAATCATTGAGCACCAGGGACCTCACAAATTGAAGAACCGTGTCAAATAAATCATTGGGATTGATTGGCTAACGCATCTACTACTTGATTCTTCTCTCTTGGAACGTGACATAGCTGCACTACCCATGGCCTTTTCAACGGTTTTTTTTTTTTTTTACCGAAATACTATACAATATAAAAGAAAATACTAAAATGCTACATAATAGGAATTATTTCTCAAAATGCTACATTTAAAATCGTTTAGGAGGAAAACAGTTTTTAAAATTCATCAAACCAAGAATGATTTCTTCAATACTTCACTTCTATTTCTCCAAAACTCATTCTTGGTACGAACGATTTATGAACTTCATATATATCGTACAATTTATGTAATAATTTAATAATCATTTGAATAAAAATGATGAATAATAATTGTTAATTGTTACAATATGACTAAGGAATTATTATGAGGTGTATTAAATTAAAAATTAATAATAATAAATAAATAAATATTAGGTTTTATGAAAATTAATAATGAATGATTAACTTATATGAAAGAAAAGTGAAAATTAATTTACCTCACAAATAGTGACTTTGAGTGCCACAACTTGTTCTCCTCCTCATACGTTGTGGCTATTGTTGTTGTATGTTCCTTTCTTCTTAAGATTCAAGTGTTTCATTTATCTGGATAGTCGGCATATTTAAATCTAACTAAGGTGATTCAACTAAAGAAATCTACTGTGGAGAGGTGGCATTTGCTTCATTTAATGGTCCATCATATTTAAAAGTAGAAGTATTGTATTCAATAGAAAATAATGCAAGATCATCAAGTAAGGACATGAATGATCCAAATTGAGTAGGAGTTGGTGAGTTGAAAAGGGATGATGATGAGGGTGGGGCATGTAATGAGACTTAAATTGAGTGAGATTACGAGAGTTGAAAGGGGGTGATGATAATGATGAGGGTGGCGTGTAATAAGATTGATTAAAATTTTGAGGCTTTTATTTCCTTACATTTTCATTTTCGATTGGTGGTTGGATAGAAAAGTAGCCATCTTGTCACTTGTTCGGCCTATTTTGAGGAATTTGTAGACGAAGCAACTCAACTCTTAGTGGAGCAGGCTAGTCTCTATTAAATCATTGTTCTCTCATTGCAAGTAAGATGTTGTGTTGGTCTCGAGCAACTTTATCTCAACAATCAATGCAATGAAAGCATTCTGAATGAGAATTAATTGTTAGCCTATAAAACTCCTCTGCTATATTAGCATAAAATAAACAATAACACATTAGATTATAACTCTTTTTTGTAAAACAAAAAGGATGGTACAAGTGAAAGAAGGTGAAAAACTTATTGCATATCCAGTATCACTACTAAAATATTTGATCCATCATCGGGTATGTCTCCAATACCATTATATATACTTAGATGCTCTCTCAAACTCATTGTAACATCTTGAATTTTAACTTTAGGAATTTCTAATATTTGTAAGGGTATTTTAGTCAAATTAAGTAAATTTTTGGTTAATGATGTTTTAAGAGACTAATGTATCTAATGAATCATTAGATAATCTTAAAAGAGGGCTAGATTGGAGTTTGAGCAGGTCGTAGCATGGAGAAAGGTGCAAAATGAGTCTGGGGTTCTTTATGCCATGCGTTGTGACAGATGAGCTAATGTGCCATAGCGCACATGCAAAATTTATGTTTAGCAACTCGCAAAATCAGACAAAAAACAAGAAGTGAGATAGAGAGAACTCAAAGAGACGATGGTACATGATTGGTTGGTATTAGAGCTCGACCTTTAGGTCACTTTAGAAGTATTTGAGGCAAGATTTAGCTTTGGATAAACTCCTTCCACTTCTCCTTCTCCCTATATTCAAACTTTTTGATGATTTGGGTATGATGGGGCTTTGATTTCATGTTTTCTTTGTAATGGCTGAAGCCATTGCCTTAGTTAACACCTTAAGGAGTTAAATCAAGCCTCTAAACTTAAATTTTTGGATTATATAGTAATTTGGAGTTGTTGGTTAGGGTTTGGATGAACCCTATGTAGAAATTAGATTGGTGTTATATATGTGTTGGAATGTTAAATAAGGTTAATGTAGTGTGTTAGAGGGATTGTTGGGCCTAAATTGAGGTTTTAAGCATAATGGGCACCCCCAGTTGTACTACAAATGAGGTGATTTGTGTTGGGATTGACAATTAAGGGTTTAATTATGTAGATTAACCTTTGATTGAGCATTGTGGTGTTAATAGATGCGTGTGGAGCCATTAGTTGACCATGATAATCCTTTTAATGACAAAAGAATTGGGGGAACTGGATTGTCTAATCTCCTTTTTTGTGTGTTTAGATGGTGGTGTGTAAATTTCAAAGTTAATGTTTTAGTTTGATATTAACATAGGAATAATATAAAATTATGATTGTGAAGTTATGTGAAGTGGAATGAAAACTTATTTTAGTGCTTTTGTATTTGAAAAGCTAAATGCTACTTTTATGTATAACTACTTGCCAAATTCTATGGTTTATGTAAAATGAGAAATTGGGATAATTTATATGTTATGATTATATGTTAGATGTATTATGCATGTTTGGCATGATCATTGTGAAAGGGTGGGAGTTCACCCTAGTTATTGTCAAGACATTGTTTAGAAATTCATATGGTATACTAACACTATGGAGGCTTCGGTGCTCATTATTATATTGTTTAAAAGTTCTAGTACTACAAATGGTAGATTGGGCATTGACACCCCTAATATTTATGGATAGGGGGAATTTGTGGTCCATAGGGGTGAAGGCACTCTTGGCCGAGGTTTCCTCCTACTAATGGTGAGCTTAAGTTAGTCTAGTCACATGGACTTAGTCAATTATTAGCCCACAAATTTAGTCAGAAGACATAATGAGGATATAAGGTGGTGTATTGATCATACATTCATACTATAACGATATGTGGATTTATGACACATGTTATATGAATTACTATGCCACTTTACATATGCACAAACTATTCTCACACACGAGTAGTTGATTAGACTATTTGGTTACTGATTCCTTGACTCACCCTGTTGTTACATTTCACAAGTGAAGGCTCCGATAGGGGTAAGGAAATGAAGGTGTAACCAAGTATTGAGGGGACTAGTTATAATTTGTATAGTCCTTTTATTTATTTTGGTTTGTAATGAATGCTAAATGC